ATAGATAGATAGATAGATAGATAGATAGATAGATAGATAGATAGATAGATAGATAGACCCTTGCTGAGACATAGGGGCACACACTTTTAATTCTAGCACTTGGGAGGCAGATGCAGGCGGATCTCTGTAAGTTCAGGGCCAGCCTGGTCTACAAAGTGACTTCCAGGACAGCCAGGGCTTAAAAAGGAAAGAAGAGAAGAGAAAAGAAAAGCAGAGAAGAGGACCCAGGGTAAAGGGCATCTCAAAATTACTGGGGAGTGAAGATGCAACCACAGAGATGCAGCCTGACCCCCTGGAGTCCAGCCCTGCTCTGTGCTTTTGTTTTAAGGGAGGTTTTATAGGTAGGATTCCTAATTCTGAGACTCCCATTGTTAAGCTCTGGGTAGAAAAAAATCTTGCCAGGTTACTGTTTATAACGCTCTGAGTCACGCATTCCCAAATACAAACATTTACACCATTAAGCATCCAGCCTAGCTCGGAAAGGCAGGGCTCATTTCAGAGCTCTGTCCTGTTGTTGTCATGAGAACACACATATTTTGTCTCATCTTATGCCCCGTTTTTTCAGCTTAGTGATATGTGGTTGCCATAGATACTGCCTCTAAAATGGGGTGGAGAGTGAGTAAAAAGGGAACTCCCATGGCTACTAGATCAGAATAACAATAATAAAAGAAAGAGACGGTGATTATACAGCAGCATTCCATTCATAACTCTTCCTGTTACACAGCTGCCAGCTCTCACAGGTTCAGGTGAGGAAAGGTGACAAGGGAGATCGGACTAAACTGGGCAAAACTAAACAGATAAAAAAGTCTAAGATGCTGCAGGCTCCAGCCCCCACATATATATCCATTCCTCCACTCCAAAATGAAGCTATTTTCTCTTTTCTGAATCCCCCTGACTTAAGCAGCTCTTCTTGTCTATGACTATTGTACTGACTAATAAGGACACCTAGTATAACCTTTTTTTTCCTTTAGCTTTGATAATTCCACACATGTAATGAAATCTGATCACGTCTACGCTCTATCTCCCCCTCCAACTTTCTGCACAGCTCCCCAGCACACTCATGCACACACACACCAGCTTCATGTCTTTTCTTTTTTGTGACCCAAGTCCAATTAGAGCTGCCATAAGTGCATGGATATGGAGGCATTCACTGGAGCCTGGGCGACCTGCCACTGGTTACATCCTTAATAAATATATATATATATTATCCCTGCCCCAGCCACTGTCTACTGCCAAAAGCGACTCAGTATGGTCAGGCTTAAAGATCATCTACCCCGGCTCTGCGGGAACTTTAGCTGCCTTACCATGGTGTAGGTCTCGTGTCAGTATCCACGACTGCTTAGTTCATGAGTGTGGTAGCCAAGTCATTTCCAGAGGACAGCTTCTCTCAGCATTCCTCCACATCCTCTGATTTTACTTTTTTTTTTTTTTTGTCTCCTGTTCCACAGTGCTCCCTGAGCCTCTGGGAAGGGGCAGGGGAGGATAGGCTAATACAGATGTCTCATTTAATGCTGGGTACCCAGTCTCCTGTCCCTAGCGCTTTGGCTAATTCTTTCTCCACTGGCTGCTGTGTACTGCAGAGGGGGCATCTCTAACCAAGGTCGGGAGGGACCCGGATCTGCCGGTATGAACACAGTTTAGAGAAACAAGCTCTTCCCTAGAGCCTGTGACCTTGATAGCCGTGAACTCTACATTAGGATCGCAAGGCCAGACAAGAAATTCTTTCCTGTGGAACAGGCCTCCAACCCAATCAGGAAGTGATCGGTTAACTCACAGCGCTCTGGTGTGCCAGTAGGCACATCCTGTCTAACAGGTCAAAACTGTGGCATGCAGGTCCCAGCACCAAGTGAAGCTATTGGTCTCGTTTCTCCAAGCAACCTGCATAGCATCTTCTGGCACAATGAAAGCTAGCCACCGAGGAGGAAGTCTCCCAGTCAGTTTGAGATTTATCTCTCTATAGCTTACGTCAGAATTGTGTGGTGTCTTCCGAAGTACGCTCTCACGATGCAGTTGTGGTGGGTAGCCATGGCAACAGCCTACATTGTCTTGGAGACCTTTGGATGGTATCCCATGCCTTGTGCTGCACTTTTCATTTAACAATCCATGTCTTCTGAGAGAGGCAGTGCCCACCTCTGCAGGACAATTCCATTCAAACTTTTTTTAAGCTGTATTTTGAAGTGAGATTGCTAACGAATGGGATCCTGTGAGACTTTTTCATACACCTTTAATTCTCAGTAAGCCGTGCACAACCCCTTTCCTTGCTCCATCTCCCCATCAAATGATTAAAGAGTGTGCTGCTCTACCTCTCTCTTTCCTAACCCAATCCAAAAGGAGATATTCCGGATATTTAGGTTTGATCTTCTGTTGAAGTCATATTTCCCGCAAGGAAGAAGCACTTCCCCCTCTTGCATACCCACTCCCCCACGTCCAGCGTTTTTAAAAGACACAAATGAATCTCTGATTGGTGAAGTCTATAGGAAGGCAAAAAGTTTCCCTCAACCTGTGTTGTGTTAAAATCACTATTCCCCCCCCTCCCCTCCCACCACGTCAGGACAATACCAGGTAGAGTGAGCTCATCCCCGGAGAAGAGGGAGCCAGATGGCACAGGGTGGAGCAGTTCCCAAGCCCAGCTGACGCTTAGGTAGACTTAAACTCACTTTCCTATCTAGATCAAGAAGTCTTCCTATAAAACCAGTATGAACAGAAGCAATTCCAGGGTAACACCAGGAGGAGCTGAGTTGCATTCTTCTTCTTTTTCTTTTTTAATATTGGGTCTATAACCTTTCTACTTAGGAAGCAGCACTTTCTAAGATTCATACTTTGGATTTTAGAAGACTATCGTTTTGCATTTTTAAATGTTAAACATCTATCCTTTTCCAGTGTAAAGTGATGTAAACTCAAGAACAGCAAGTACAAAGGGAAATCCTTATTGCTGACACTCATCACTGTGTTAGCATGATCAATCAGACATGAAACCACTGGCCTCAGCATCTTTCCTGAGTTTGGGTTATCTCAATGACACGGCACAAGCTTTAAATCACACTTCACATAAGAGACTTCAGACATGCATCCTAACCTCTTACACCGCTGCATCCTTCTCCCATCTCCCTAGCATTTCCACAGGCCACATGTCTGCTCTTTGTCCAATAATAGCTTCAGCTCAAGTCTTATAATTCACATGTTTATAAATATAAAGGGTTAGTTACTGGAAAATATGTTATGACAAAAAAAAATCTGCCTTTTTTTTCTCATGCTTCCATTTCAAGGAAACACAATGAAATGTAAATAAATCCAAGCTTGTGATAATTCCAATAATTCCATGTTGTCCAGAAAGTTATCTTTGTTAGTATAGAAAACACATTAACAGTAAGATAGGATTAGATGGCAATGAGTGTTCTGTGACTAAGACAACAGATACTTTATCTGGGTGTGAGTACAGAATCCTGTAACTTAGCACTCTAGAGGTTGAGACAGGCAGGCCAAGATGAGTTCAAGCCCAGCCAGGACTGTGTAATAAGACCCTGTCAGGAAGGGGGTTGGAAGAAACTAGCAAGTCTAATATCAAACAGTTTTGTAGTCACTAAAGCAGGGTTTCTTCTTGCAGGTAAAAAATGTGTATCCAAGGGGCTGGGCACGTGCTCAGTTGTAGAGCTACCTGGCATGAGCCAAGTTCTGAATGCACCCTTTCTTAGTTCTGTCTTGACAATGAATGTTTGCAGCTGGGCATGGTGGCACATGCCTGTAATCTCAGCGTCTGAGAGGCTGAGGCAAGAGGCTAGCCTAGGCTACCTACCATGTCTTTACCTCCAAAAGATAAAATGAAATACGCAAGGAAAAAGACTCCATTTAAGATGTGGTTGCTGTCGTCGACAGCAGGTCAATGCTATAAAATAATAATCTCGAAAAGTCTCCCTGCAGCTAACCTGAATGAAGGCTTTCCGACTCCCTGGTGTCACCTTCCTGTAGTTCCTTCCCTCTCCACCCGCCTTCCCTAGTTCCGTACACTTTTTCTTTTCTGCTTGTCTGTCTCTGCAGATAACAACAGCTAATGTTCACTAAGCCAGGAGCTTTCACTGTTTAACGGCCGTTGAGCCGTTTATAACAAGAATTCTGTGGGTCTGGTTGGTACTCAGCTCCTTTTCCCAAATGAGAGAAAGAAGGACAGCTTAAGCGGGAGCCACTAATCTAAGGCTAGTCCCCCTGTCTGTCTATGTTAGCCCTGGCGGTGCACTGCAGCAGTTGGCTGTCGGGGAGTGAAGGGGGTGGCCTGACCCCTGGCGGTGACCTCGCCTGTGGCCTTGCTGTTGCAGGTTTCATGACTTACATCGTGGAGCCGCTCTTCCGCGAGTGGGCCCGGTTCACCGGGAACAGCACCCTGTCGGAGAACATGCTAAGCCACCTGGCGCACAACAAAGCGCAGTGGAAGAGCCTGCTGTCCAAGCAGCACAGACGCGGGGGCCCGGAGGCCGCGGGGCCCGAACCCGAGGCCCCGGAGGAAGGCGCCGCGCCCTGAGGCCGCCGGAGCCTGCAGGAGCTGCCCCGCCGCAAGCTCTGGGTCGCCCGCACCCCGCGCCTGGCCTGCCGAGGACCGCCCCGCTTCCCTGAGTGTACAGAAGCCAGGTCAGCTCAGCGCTGGCTGCCGAAACGAGCGGCTCCGTCCCTTGGCGGAGCGGATTCCGGGGCGGCTTCCCCGATGGAGGAGACTGGGAGGAAGAAAGGGGTGCTCCTGCCGTGTCCCGCTCCGGCCCCCGTCACACCGAGCCGCAGTGGCTCCCAAGGCCAGAGCATGCTAGGGTTCGCCATCTGACAGCTGACCTGCATGACAACACCAGCATACTCGGAACTGCGAGACTGGTCTTCAGTGCCAGAGCACAGACGGGAGTGCGAGAGAAACTACCTTCTATTTTAATAATAGTTGTTATTACGAAATAATAATAAACCTTTTTAACTTTTCTATTTCATGCACCAGACAATGGGTCTAGAACTCTGGACTAAGGAAACTCAGTGTACCCAAACCTAAGAGGGGGTTCGTTGTTTTGCTAGTGACTCCATGCCGCTTCGGGTCAGAGACGCGGCACCTTTGCGGTTTCTGAAACCGTGTTTCCCCTCCCATCGGGTGGAAGGTGCTGCACAGTTCATTCCTTTGCACCGTTAGCCAACCTGTCTTTTCCGGATTCAGCGGCCTGTTTATATTCACACGTGTACATTTTCTGTAAATACCAAACGCTACTGATTCCCATGCCAAAATACACGAGTATTATGGGATTGCTACCTGTATAAACAATGGCACTGTGAACAGAATACTGTTAGTTTTAATACAAGAGAATGCATTTGTACATATGATATAGAGTTTATTGATATACTGTTGTTCGCAGATAAAGGCCTTAACTTTAAATATGTTTCCTCTTCCCTAAGCTGCCCAACCTAAATCCTTACAGCTGTCTTTCTGAACTGCCTGCTCCCGACAACCATCTCTCTCTGCTTTCCCCACTAAGGTCAGAGGCCGAAAACAGTACTGTCTTGGAGGAAACCTTTTTTGGAAACTTCTCGGGCATTCCTCTTGAGATCATAGTTTTTGGTCTATGGCACCAAGTATGGTTTCCTTAGGTTAATGACGCCCTTTCAGGAAGACACAAGTCACCCTCCAGTGGGGGAACGTTGCACACTGTTTTCACAAACCAGCTGATAAGCTTGTGTTTATGTGACTCCTGTTATGGAACAAGGGGTGCCTCGGCCTCCCAGGAGCCTCAGCAGGTCTCAAAGGCCTTCTGTGACCCTGTCACCTGGCCGTCAGGGAACTCCCTGCTCCCATGCCACACATTTGTCTGATATGGCTAAAAACCAAAGTCCTTTCGGTCCATGATTGGTTGGCGTACAGTTCTTTGGTATTGATAGTAACTGGATATTTCTTTTTTCTTCTATAGTTTCATGTGAACAACTGCCCAACTGTTTTAGCTGAGTTTAATATTATTTAAGTAAAGAAACTATTTCAGTTTTATAAGAGACTTTACCTTCCTAGCAGGTCAGTGTGGCTCATTAAGGCTGCAGCCGGCAGGGTCAGCTCGGAACCGTTGCCCCTCTTCCGCAGGCACTTGGCTGCAAAGCCCTGCGTATTCCGGTATTCTTACCCAGCCAAACTGTGCGTTGAGCCTTCTCAGACGCTCTAGCATGACTCATGTTAGGTGGAAACTGCCAGTGGCCCTCTCTCTTTACCTTAGCGTGCGGTGGGAGAGGGAGCATTTCTGCCACGATCAAGCCGCTTCTCAAGCTCATCTCCTCAGTGCGAATGATGTGGGTCTTTTTGCTTCTCCCTAATAATACAAGCGACATGTTAAAAACTCGACTGGCCTGGACTATGTTCCTACTGAGAGACTGGGGCTTGCAGACTCAAGGTTTTGGGAGGAATTGGAAAGTTGATTATATTTTCATTAAGGTAAGCAAGATTGTTAGATGAGGGCTAAGGAAAAGTATGAAGAGCCTGTGAAAGGGGTGGATGAAACACTGAAATCCCTGGTGTGGGTGAAAGGGAAGTTATGGGAGCTGCACACTAACTTTTGTTTTCTGTGTCAGCCACGGCATTCTGAAGCTCTGAGCATAACCAAGTCTTCAGATGAGAACACAGCAGATGGATTCCTGCTTCAAACTCTCATCTTGGACTGTAGTAGTCTGGTTTATGCATAGGAGAGAAAAATCAAGGATATCAATTGTTCAGGATGACAAAATAGAAATGGTAAAGAAAACATTGTTTCTGGTCTAAACCTGGGGCTTAGGAAGTAGATTTTGCTTGAATTATAATTATATTTTAATTTAATTAGGATAGGGCAGTCTTAGTAGTTCCAGGTTTATAGGGCAAAGGTTTTCACATTGTAAGTTAGTCCTAAAGATGAGACAAAAAATAAATAAAACTACTAAACACCCAGTGGTTAAAACACATGTTAATAAAAATCAGAAGTAAAGAGAGCCTGATGTATAAAGCAGACACACCTGCCCTTTTTTTCCTGTCTGGAAACTTCTTGAGCTCTTCATTTGTTAAAAAAAAAAAAAAGTGAAAACTCTTCTTTTTGCCTGCCAGTGGCTGCCTGGGAGTAATTTAATACAGGATGTCCAATTCGTAGTGGAGACGTGGCTCTTGATGCACATGTCGGCAGAGCTTTCAAATCTTCATCTGCTAGCCCACCTAGCTAATGGAGCATCAGCTGTTGAGTTACTGAGCTAATTCCTACATTGCTTAGAAAGGAAGAACTCAAAGAACTATTTTTTTTAGTAAGTCAAAGCCAAGATATCAGTGAGAGAGATAAAGAAAAGAGAGGAGGGAGGGAGAGAGAAAAAGTGAACACTGCCAGCCCTGATAATCAGCGCCTTCTTCACAGTCATCAGTACACAGTCAGACCTGATACGTGAAACCCTGTCAACCCATACTCCCCTGTTAGGTTAAGGAAAAGCTAGCTGTTTCTCCCTCTCCCTGCTTACAGCTTCCCTGGAAGGGCCTTGGAGCACATCTGCAAGTCCGTCTCCAGATAGCCCTTCCTGTAAAACAGTTGTGTGGCCTTTTGTGTTGACTCAGATCTGCTCACTGACTTGGATTTGGTTATGAGCTTGTATCTCACTGTAATCCTCATGCTTTGTTCTTTTAGGACTGTAAAACTGTGTCATCTTGTGTACACATGTAATGTTTGGGGAAAAAAAACAAACTTGTGAGTTTTGCTCAAAAATGTGGCCGAAATATCCATTGGCATGTCTATCCAGATGAACATTTAAAAATAAAGATAATTTCTTTAAAATATCACAGTATAAAAATATCCTGATTCTCCCCAAGTAACACATCCAGCCAACCAAATGGAAATGTTACTGATGAGAAATATTCAAAGAGCACAGTTGCAAACATGGTCTGTGTGGCTCCTTCCCCCAGCGCTGCAGAAATGTCTATCTGGAGAAAGACATCACTCACTCCTTGTCTGTCATGAAGTGAAGGATGGCCTCCCCTCGGATTCTGCATTTTCCAGAATCCTCTGTTTTTCTGCTTCACATTTCCCGGCACGTGTATGAATGAGGATGCAGTGAGGACTATCATTACATATACTCCATACCTCTTTCGTTAAGACTGTTCTTCCGAATCCCACTGATTCCTGAATACCCCACAAGAAAGCAGAACTCCTTTTCACCTGTGTGTGCTCTGCAGCGTAAGGTCAACATCACAGGACACAGTGGCAGTCCAAGTGAAGATCCGACATGAGTCGGGCAAGCATGGGGGCCTAGCTGATGCCGTCGGGGAGGTGAAACATGTGAGCAGGAAAAGGGCAATTCGGTACTGATGGAAGAGCTCCCACGCCCTGATGCTATGCTGAGACCCGGGGTCCGAAAGGCCTGGGTCCTGCAGTAGGCTATCTGACTGTGTAAAGAAAGAACAGTGTATCAGGGACTGCTTCACTTTTGTCTTGCCTTTTTTTTTTTTTTTTTCTTGGTTTCTTTTGAGACAGGGTCTGGTCTCAAACTGGTAGAAATCCACCTGTTCTTCTACTGAGTGAAGGCTGGGATTAAGGCATATGCCACCACACCCAGCCAGGGAAGTGCTTCGTAAAGACACAGCGACATGCCCATGACAGCAGCTGAAACAAACCACCTCAAAGAGGCAAACGCTAGAGGAAGAAAGCCTTCTGGAACAGAAAAAAGTTTCATTCCCCGTTTTGTGAATAATCACTCCAAAATTGTTTTCAAACTGCAAGACCTTTTCTACTACTGCTGTGGCAATTAAAAGACATTGCTTTGCAGGGGCTGGACCAATGGCTCAGCAGTTGCGTTTGCGCTGCTCTTGCAGAGGACCCAAACTCAGTTTTCAGCACCCACACAAGGCACCTGCCTGTACTCCAGGCTTGACATCCTCTTCTATCCTCTGCAAGTGCTGGATTCATGCTCACACGTGAACACACAGAAACACACAACTAAGACATTTTTTAAAATAAAACAAACTCTTTAGGGGCTGGAGAGATGGCTCAGCAGTTAAGCACATGAGTTGCTCTTGCAGAGGGCCTGAGTTCAATACTCAGTCCCCATAAGTTGCTCACAACCATCTGTCTCTCCAGTTACAGGGCATCTGACAATAAAAGTCCCCTCCTGGCACAATGCATAAATCTTAACAAATAACCCCTCATATGAGGTAAGGGTCAAGAGACTGAATAGCAAAAACGTAGTAAGAAAGTGGTTGGCTATACAGTGCAGTCTGACAGATTTTTTTTTTGGTTGTTTTAGTTTAAAATTTTATAATTTATTTATTAATTACAGTTTACTCACTTTGTATCCCAGCTGTAGGCCCCTCCCTCACCCCCTCCCAATCCCACCTTTCTTCCCTCTTCTCCTCCCATGCCCCTCCCCAAGTCCACTGATAGGAGAGGTCCTCCTCCCCTTCCATCTGACCCTAGCCTATCAGGTCTCATCAGGACTGGCTGCATTGTCTTCCTCTGTGGCCTGGTAAGGCTGACAGATTGATTAATTTATATAATTGTGTATTTACAAAGTTGAGTTAAAAGATTATCCCTCAACTTATTGTAAATTCTGAAACAGTTACAGCCTGCTTTTATGGGTAGTTCCACAGATTCCAGAATAAAAGGCAAGTGCATCTTTGCAGTTCTTCAAAATGCTCTATGAAGGAAAGGACTCCTCCAAACAAAAGAAGAATCACTGACTTCAGCTGTGTATGCTTCCAAGTCCTAATTCTTGCTGGTGATGGTTGTGGTCCTCTGTGTCAGGCCCTGAAGGTTTGGGAAGATTTTGTTGTGTCTTTTTTGTTGTTGTTTGGTTTGGTTTGGTTTGGTTTGGTTTGGTTTGGTTTGGTTTGGT